CTGGTGAAGGAGATGAGAACAGTAGTAGAGTCGGGAGGGGAAACGATGGAGCGATATTTGGCCTGCTGGATCCATCTGTACGTTTCTGTTTCTGCTTATTTGCTGCTCCATTTTTCCATCATGTAAACAATCCAGAATCCCCACTTTTTTTGTTAATGCTGTCCATGTTATCTTGACAATTATTATATATTTTTGTTTCAGTGGACGCACTCCAGCTGGTATGTCCGTCCTGGGGTCATACGTAGGCTCTATGCCCCCTCTTCCTGCACTAGTCCTCACACACTTGCCCTCCGGAGACCAAATATACCAGTACCCACCCAACACCCCCATAGTGGCCTCCTCAGTCCTTCACTGGCTGCAAAGGGTCGAGGATGGTACTGAGTCACCAACAGGTAAGGAGGAGAGAACAGAAAGCTTAAAGCTGAGTTTACAGTCCCATAAATTCCAAGACAGCTATGCTATACAGCTATAATTCTGCCTTATTACAGACAGTTAATGAACCGGTCACTCTTAAAAGCAGAATTGAGATTAGAAATGTGCAAGATTACCTTAAAGATTGAAATCTTTAAGGTAATGTTTAGGTCACCTCAGTCTGGATGGAATTTCCAGTCAATAAAAAATCAATAATAAACAATTCAACTATGCCTCAGATTTACCTTTAGCAGTTTGTAGATTCTAGTCACCTGGAATTTATTTGAGTTACAAGCACATTTTGAAAATCTCGCACAAAGTCATCAAATGAGACTGGATGCAATGACAAAAGCAGACATTGTGTGTGATTGTTGACTGACCTTTACAATTAAGAGGCTGTCCTTCTGTCTATTTACATTTGCCTTTCTACATACAACAGTTAATCTGAGAAATCACTTGTACTAGTCATATTTCTAAATGGAAATAATACCTGTGGTCAGCACATTCCCACCATAAAGACTGACTACACATTCAGCAGTCTTCTCTATCAGTGAGAGAACTGTTAATATAACTGTTGAATGTAGTTCAGATATGAAACCCGAACTATCTGGAGTCCTCTTTTAGCTCTGGAGTGTATAAAGGCAAGAGCCGAGATAAGATGCTGGTCTCCATCACTGAAATGCACCACGTTTAATTGATTCTCTGCACACAAACTGCAGACTAACAACCTTTTTACTAATGCAGCAGGACTTAAGGTTCTATTTTTGACTGGCTGTAATCTTGTTGTAACCAAAACTCTTCTGCTGGATTGCAATGTATTCATTTTTACTAATCATCGATTTGGAAATGCTGTTAAACCTGTATTATGTTTGCAGACTCGCATTTAGTTTACAGGTAGAGATGGTTGTCATATATGAGTGAGTCCTAAAATTATTATTTGAAGTCATTTTATAAAAGTGAAAAAAGTTGTGACGATTATAAATTGAACTTCAGGAAC